GAAGTTTGGTGAGCAGGAGAGGGCTTGGTGTCCCTTCAAGCAAGGGCAGGCAGCTCTGAACAGGCTCCTTTAGGATGCCCCAGAAGTTTCTGGCTGCCACAGGGGTCACACACGTACAGCCTTGGCGTGAGGTGGGTAAGTCCCAGCAGCTCTCTGAGATCGTGCAGGCAAGAAGAGATTTTTTTTTTCTTTGCTCAGATGACTTCAGCCTGGCCTGGAGGAAATTTCTTCAGACTTTCCGCCTGCACAAGTTTGCCTTAGAGCTGGGGAGAGGCACAGGGAACTTCAGCACAGAGGAAGGGAAAGAATGGCTGGAAATTTCCATGTCCTGGGATGCAGAAGCCTGATGCCTGGCCATAACAGATGAGTTAAGGTGGCGAGGGCTTCAGGTCCTTGCACTCTGCAGGCTCTGCTGGGAAAGGGCTGAGCTCAGCTAAATTAAGAAAGTTTTGATTTTTGTTGGTTTGGGTTTTTTTAAACTACAATATGGATAAAAGAGGAGTCAGTTGTGACTGTATTCCTAGGAAGAGAGACCGTGGGGCATAAGCTGCTGGGCAACTCTGGGTGAGCTGTCTGGGATGCTCGCTGCATCTTGGATATGGGGAGCCCCTCTGACGAGGCAGATGGAGAGCTGAAGGGGGGCCCTGAGATATCCTAGACCTGCGGCTGGTGCCTCATGAAAAGAGAATCCTGAGGCAGTGAGGACATGTGTAGGGCTGTAAATAATTGCTAGGGTGAGTTGTTCAGGCTCTGGCAAAGTCCAGGCCCTGTCCTCTTGTAAGAGGCTGTTCTGACCTCGAGATACCTTTGTGTGTACAGAAACTGAAGGAAAAGTATTTGCCTCCCGATGGGTGAGAATGGGAATTTGCTGTGTTTGAGACAGAGTTACCATGGCCAATGGACGACTTTTGGGATGTTTGCTGCTTTTATTGACATTGTTCATCTTGCTTCTCAGCCCATGACTGGGCCCTCCTGAGATGGGCTGACCTGCTTTCTGTCTTGGCCCATCCCTGCAGTGATGGTAGCGTGGGACAGACCCTCATTTTTCAGGAAGCAGTCCACGTGCATCTGATGTTTAGTGCTTCTACAATCCTGGACCCACTGTCTGCTCAGAAATGTAGCAAAATGCTCAGATGTGTGGGTGCAGAGTCTAGGGGGTGTGAGGCCAGGAGTGCTGCATGGGGGTGAAGAGGGGCACCTTCATCTCCTCACCTCCTCCTGAAAAATGAGGTGCCCACAGCCCTCTCTCAATGCCTCCCCCGCCAGTCAGCCTCCAGCACCCCTCATCCACCAGCACCCTCACCAGAACCTCTGCAGAGCACCGCAGGAAAGGTGGAGGCTGTCTCCCCTGCTTGCCCATTGCTTCCCACCCCTCCTTTTGGTCCCGGGAGCAGCAGGCTGGGAAGCACCAGCTGCCCATGCTGGAGGTCAGGGGGGCTGTATCCAATGGCTGAAGGGGCTTTGCCCAGGGGAGGGGAGAAGAAACCTGCAGAACAGGAGACCTAGGTCAGGAGCAGAGGACATGAGGATGAGCCTGCAGCCAGCTGGGATCCACTGCTCCCCTGGAGCTGCCAGAGGGCGGCTGGAACGGTTTTATGGAGCCAGGCAGCATCACGTTGGTATGTGAGGAGGAAGGGAGTCGGGCTGTCGGAGGGCTGCAGGGCAGGATGGAGCTGTGCTTGCTGAGCCTGCTGGCAGAGGTTCGTGGTGATGGCTGAGGAAGCGGTTAGCAGTGCAGGTTACGGGGCTGGAACAGGAGAGCAGAGTAAGCATGGAATTCCCCTGCTGTTTTCCTCCTCCCTCACACTCCTCTCTGTTGCTGCTGGGGCCATTTCCTCCCCTGAACGAGTTTCTCTTGTGTGAATTGTTTGCATGATTTCCTACTGCTCCACTCAGCCAAAATAAGGAGCCTGGAGTGAACTGTTCCTGCTGCAGATAGGGATGTTATCTAGAGAGGGAGAAAAAATTTTCAAACCATGTTCTACTGAATGCTGGATCCCTTGGCCTAGGTGCTTCTGGGGTGAGATGGAGGAGGGAGATGGGGTGATCTGCATAGCCCCTTTGCTAGAGGGAGAGGAGAGAATAGCTGGAGAACTGGTGGGACATTATCAGTTCTGCTTATGTGTCAGAACTGGCTGTCACCCTTACCCCATTCTACTGTCTCCAGTCCTCAGGCGTGGGCACCTTTCCTGCTGGGTGTTTGAAGTCACTCAGAAGCCTGGGAGATGCACAGTACTGTGGAAATAGATTTTCTCCTGTGCCTAAACTAAGACCATTTTGGGCACGGTGTACTCAGGCCTAGGGACGTGCCCAGTGATGGCCCTGACCCCTCTGCTCCAGGATCGTTCTCTCTCTGATGATGGGTGGATCACTTTGTGCCAGGGATGCCCTGTGCCCGTGGGACCTTTGTGGTTCAGAGTGCTAACGAGTCCCCTTGTGCCAGGTTACAGCTGGTGAGCAAGTGGAAAAGCTGAGAACAAACCCAGCAGCCTGTACTCCTAGGCCGGCCGCATTTCCCCCGCCCACACCTCCATCCCCAGCCCTTTCCAAAACTCCCTGTTGCCCTTTCTAAATGTCTTTTCTGGGCACCTGCTCCCGCGGCGGCAGGCAGGAATGTGTGTGAGGGGGGAGCAGGCGAGCAGAGGAGAGGCGTGCAGGCAGCCGAGGGAAGGGCAAGGGTCTGAGCATGGCAGGGTGAAGGGCTCGTTCTGGCAAAGGCAGGGGGCCGTGGCTAGGCGAGGAGGGGTGTCTGGCACAAGCAGGGATCTCTCCATCCCCGTGCCCTGGCTGTGGGGCTCAGCTGAGCGCTGCGTGCCAGCACACAGCAGCCTGGCACTGTCCGGACCGCGCGGCTGCCGTGGCAGAGAGAGGTGTGCCTGTAGCCTTGCCCGGAAGAAAGTAGAGACTGGCACCATGCCTGTGCCTCAGGTCTGCCTCCTGGGCAAAGGAGGTTTCCCAGCTCAGCAGGAGATATTCCCAATTCCTGGCTGGCGTCGCTGCTTTGTGTGCATCCGCTCCTGGACACATCCCAGCCTGGTGGCCTTGCCATGATTCCCCCAAGTAGCTCATGGCTCCTGCAGCTGTTTCAGGAAGCTAAGGGCTGGCAATGAGGAAAGGGGGAAATGAATGTAGAAATGAAAGTGCAGGAGGAGCTGCACACAGGTGGAGAAGGAAGATGGAGGGGGGAAAAGCAATCCTTTGAAGCGGGGGCATCCCGGCTTTGAGGTGAAAGCCTGAGCTCCGGCTATGTGGAGACAGTTGCCTCTGTCACCTCCATGGCATAGGTGCCCAAATTGCTGGGCATCAGCCCAGCCCCAACCAGCGTCACTGCTTTTCTGAGCTGCAAAGCCACCAAAACCAGGAAGAGGAAGGTGCCAGCAGTGGTGGAGTACTGCCCGGGGTTTCCACCTCCCCCAAGTGATTGCCCCACTTGTCCCCACATGCCAACGTGGCATGGCATGGGTAGTGGTGGAGGGGCGGGGGGATTCCTGGGGGTGTGGGGGCTGGTTGCAGTGGGGTGCAACCCTGGCCGCTGCTCCCTCCCCTGGGAGCCCAGCGTGGCTCTGGAAAGTGAAAGCAGCAGAGGTTTAAAGTTCAAGCCGAATTGCCTTGGAAAGTCCCCTGTCTGAACAGCCTTATTTCTGCTGTACCTGAAAAAGCCAGATCCTGCGGCCTCCTGCACGTGGTGCCTGGGAGTGGGTTTGGAGAAACAGGGGCTGTCCCTGCAAGTGAGCAAAGGACACCTCGGAGCAGGTGCTACCACAGGACTGGGAGCCTGATGATGCAAAACCCATCAGGGAATCTCCTGGCCCAGATCATACCCAGGCTGGGGCCAGCAAGGACCCTGCTGAGCGCAGGAGTCTTCTTGCAGCTGGTCCTCCAGCTCTGCCCCTCACTCCTGCCCCCTTCTAGCCTGGCCTGAGCTCCTTGGCTGTGTCTCTGCCCCATGGTCCACCAAGGGTGGCCAGACCCTGCCAATGGGGATACTTGCAGCCCCCTCCAGTGCCCCAGGGAGCGCTGGCAACACGAGGACCCCATGACAGCATGGAGGCAAATGTGGGTGGTCTCTCCTTCCAGTGGGGAATTCCCTGCCCAAGTGTGACCTGGGGCTTCCCTGGGATGCAGCCTGTCCTGTCAGGCACAGCCTGTCCCCTGGTGGCGGGGCAAAGAGGAACCAGCTTTGTTTCATTGCCAAAAATGGGGCTTGGCTGAGGATGTCCAGCATCCCTGTTGCTGGCTCAACCCCCAGACGGTGCTTGGGAGGAGGTGGATAAAGGGTATACTGGTGGACTGGTCTCTGGGCTTCTCAGCACTCTCAAGTTCTCGCCGTGGCTGGTGAGAAGGCAGCCCCAGCTCTGCTGCTTTGCTGCAGCTCTTTAGGGCCGGGTCTTGCCGTGGCACCTGTGGAAGGGTGCTGCCCGCCACCCTGCTGCGGGTGGCATCCCAAGGCTGGGTGTCCGGGGAGCAGGGTGTCTCACCAGGGCTGGCACAGCTCTCGCCCTCTGTCCCTCGGCCCTGCCTGCCTTCTCCAAGCAGCGTGGGCGGCAGGAGCCGGCTTAGAGCCCTGCCTTCGTTTTGGAGCTGATCCCTGCCAGAGATAAATGCTACCCAGGGGCCCCGGCGCAGCACTGAGGAGGTGGCGGGAGGCTCGGCTCATGCCTGACGTGCCCTGCAGAGCAGGAGCTGCTGCCTGCTCTTCGTTGCCACCTGACATGGCCGGGGCTGGCCCGGGGGGACGCTCCATGGCAGGGGCCAGTCCCTGAGTGCGGGGGGGGGCCCGGGAGCGCGGCAGGTCGGCGGCGAGGGCTGGAAATTCCCGCTCGGCTCTGCCTCCGTCGCACTCTCGCTTCTGTTCTGACTGTGCCAGGGGCCAGCATCAGACCCAACTGGAAATAAAACCTCTCCTTGGGCTGGGGGCCACTGTGTGCTGCCCGGCCACCTCATGGCTATGGGAGCCACGGTCCTGAGCCCCAGGGCTCCCTTCTGGCCACCGAAGTCCGATGGCTGCACCTCTGGCGTTCCTCTGCGCTGGTGGGCTGCGTGCCAGCCCTGCCGTGGCAGTGCCAAAAGGGAAGGATGTGGGGGGAGAACAGGAAATCGGTGCAGGCCAGCAGATCGGCTGGCATGGGGACTGCGCCGTGCAGGTGATCCCGGACTGGCGCTGGGCTTCCGTCTGGCTTTGGCTGCCTGCCTTTGTAGAAGGGAAAGAAGAAGTGTGGTGCGTGGCCGGCAGCGGGGAACCGGAATTCCCCAGGCGGCTGCCAGAGCCCAGACCTCCCTCTGCAGCCACCAGACGTGGCCCTTGGGCTCTGCGAAACGTGTCACAGGCTCTTCAGGCTTGCCTCGGTTGGAAGCCTGGCTTTGGGCAGTGCCAGGTCCAAGCCCTGCACGTGCTGTGAGATCCAAAGGAAGACCCTGTGGTGCTTAGCAGAGACAGGAGGATCCATTCCCGTGGGGAACAGTGCAAAGGACTGCCTTGGGAAGCCTCAGGCCGTGTTCCTGCCTTGCCCTGCTGCAGAGCTTCCCCAGGGAGAGGGCAGGATGAAGGAGCTCTGAGCTGTTGAGAAAGGAAGGAGACTGGTGGAGGCGGGGAGGTTATTCCTCCACGCAGCAGTGGAGGATCTCTGCTCCTGATCATGGAATTTGGGACTCAATTTTATTTTTGTTTCCTTTTCCATTTTCTTTGTCCCCTCTGTAGATTGGTTCACCTGGCCATTATCCACTGCGTACCAGCCGTAGCACTCTGCTGCATTGCTCAGCTGCCCAGGGAGGTGCTGGAGATCCAAAATGATCTTTTCCAGGTATGTGAATGTGACAGGCAGAAGATGAGAGGCAGGCAGGTGCTGCAGGCAGCTCCCTGGATAGATGCCAAATCCATCTGCTATTTCCCCAAGACCTCCCCCTGGCTTCCTCCAGAGCAGGGTGAAGGTCCCGTGTAAGCAGCCCCTTTTCAGGGAGGGAAAGAAGGGGGTGGGAGGTAGCCTGAGAGACAGGTGTGACAGCTCCCAGCACCCAAGGGTGAAAAGGGTCCTTTGTGAGGCCCAGGGATGTTGCAGACAGCCCTGGTGGGTGGAGCAGGCACAAATTGAGTGTGGCAGGGTAGATAACCTGGGAGAATGAGATCTGCCCCCATGGGTGATCCTTGAACTGAGGTGGGGGGCAGAGTAGCAAGCCATCTCCTGCAGGTTACTCCTGGGTGCCAGCCACACCCTGGGACAGGCTCCTGTGTGGGC